TTTTATTGCAGATTCGGGGTCCTCTCGCCGAGCACACGAGGACCCACCTTCAAAAAAAAATAAAACAAATTCTGGGCTGTTTTTTAAACTTTTTTTGCCCGCCTGGTTTGCTCGGGCGGCCCACCCGGGCCCGCCCGGCAGGGCGGCGTCCGTACTCAGGAAAAAAGGAAAAAATAAAGAAAAAATAAAGAAAGCTAAGATGTTCACCATGTTTGCTGCAGGGGTGAGGGTCGGTCTGGGGAGCAGGCTCGAGCCCAGATGACCTCTGGGTTTCTTGAGCTAGTTTCATGACTATGTACTGCCTTGGGCAATGGGCCCGTAATGCAAGATACGTTCTCCGGGGTGGGGGTGGGGGGGGGGGAAGGTTGGTACTTTTTTAAACAAATGACAAAGCGGCATCTTCCAGGCTTAAGGATGTTTCTAATTTATTTATTTTTATTTTTTTTTAAACAACTCAGCCCCTTCTATTTTGGGGGGCATCAGTCCGGTTGCTTATCACCGGCAAGCATGCATTCCAAAGTACAAATTATTTGTAGGAAAAGAGGAAAGCCTTACACTTGTGGCCCTAGACGCCTAACAAGCGGGGGATTGCTACAACCGATCCCTCTTCCCATACCATAGCCTCAGAAACGGCATCTTCACACCAGGAATTTTTTTTTTTTTTTTTTTTTTTTTGAAGAAGAATTTTGGCATATGTGGCTTTCTGGCCCTGTTGGACGACTTATTTCCCAGGGTTGCGGACTGTCAGTGGCAGCGGTCTGTTCCTGGACAATATCCGAGTGGCTGCATCGAAGCTGTGGCTATATTGGTCCCAGCACTTGTTCTCCAGGTTGTTGTTGAGGCATTCCCATCCTCCCCCTTTTCAATCGATAATAAAGTGACCCCTTCTTTCTTTTTTTTCTTTTTTTTTGTGGTCCGATGGACCACAGAGCAGATATTAAACTGATCAGAACAGATACTACACTTGATCTTAGCCAAAAGGCCGAGAAAGGTATGTGACCCCTTCTTTCTGAAAAAAAGAAAAAACAAAAAAAAAACAAAACAATGAAGATCCATACCTGTTTGGATTTGGCGCTGTGACGGCCATGAGAGCTGGGAGATGATGAACAATCCCAGCAACGAACTGCTGGCCCCGTTTTGAAATACCCCATTTTGCGCTTGGATCATCTGACGATCCTCCGAACACGTTTTCCCCCGATTCCCAGATGCTGCAATGAACGTGGTTTCCGGAGCCACATGCATCTACAAAATACCTGCAACCCACAAAAGCACACATATCAACCCCTTAAGTAAACGACCAACTGGCCTTAGGTGTTTTTTTTTTTTTTTTTTTTTTTTTTTTTTTTTTTTTTTTTTTTTTGGCGGGAGGGGGCCAGGGGGGGGGGGGGGGGGGATCGAATATTGAACTGGTCTGAAGACTCGGAACGTATACTAAAATTGATCTTAGCAGCCGAAAGGCCGAGAAAACTATTGAACGGGCATCAGTTACTGATTGCCTGCTCTTCATTCTGTTCAGTGCACCTAATAAGAACAACGAAGCATATGCACAATTTTACGGTTTTTGTCATCTACCAGATTTCCATTAAGATTTTTTCCAAGTTTTCTTTTTTTTTTTGAACTCATGATCCGTCTGGTGACGGTTACCAGTGCTTACCATTGAGTCAACATGGGCTCGGAAAATTGGAAATGTGTTTGGTGTTTTCTTGTCTTGAGGCGTCAGTGCACAACACGACACTGCACATGGATTTAGACGCGTTATGGACCTGATGCATTCAAAAGGTTGGACTCCTCTGAATGCACCTGGTCCAGAAAGCATCGAAATTCATGTAGAGTGTTGTGGCCCTTTGTCCGTCTTCTTTTTTGTCATGTCCTCGTCCCGTGTATGAGTTTGACACTTTTGTCCTTTGCTCTGTGATTGGCAATATTTATTTAAAATTAACAAATTGAAATAATTTAAATTTATTGGTTCTAGATTCAAATGCATCCTTTTTTATTTTCCTTTTTTTTTTGTGATGTTGTCGTGATTTTCTTTTTTGTGTTATTATCTAGGCTACCAGCCGGGCCGCCCGGGTCCCCAGTGGCCGGCCCGTGCAAGGACCAGGGAAGGTACCAGCCAAAAAAAACAAAAAAAAGAACGAATTCCAAAAAATCCGAAAAAAAAACTATGTTATGCAGAAAAATAAACTAAACCAGGGTAACCGGCGTTCGGGACGGGCCGAACGCCAGAACCCGAACGCCCGAACGTATGGGACCCCTTGGGGATGCGTTCGGCCTGGACCCAAAAAAAAAAAAAAATCTGAAAAAAAGATATGTTATGAAGAAAAATAAACTAAACAAGATTTCCCTGAGCATTACATCCAAATTCCTTGCCAAATTTGAAATAAAAATAAATTACGAAAAACAAATACTAATAATAAAAATCACAAAAAATAAAAAAAGAATTTAGTGAGTTCGCGAGCACGTTTTCGACACCGCCATCTTTGGCGATTTTTCATTTTTTTTTGGAATAGCTAAATGCCCTGAAAATTCAGATATGTGTACTTCATATAATGCAAAACACACTACAAAATTTTCAAAAAATAATAAAATTGTTTAGACCCCAAACTAAAGTGAAAACAAAAAGTAAAAAGTGAAAAAAAACGTGGGCAAGCACCTTTTTTTTTATATCTGAACAATGTTTTTATAAAAGCCGGGAACCGGGCCCGGCGTTCCTTACAAAATTGCGTGGGGCCCTCAGTGGGCGAGGCATCACCGGCCCTCAGTGGGCAAGCACGTTTTGACACCGCCGTCTTTGGCGATTTTTAATTCTTATTTGGCTTAGCCAAATGACTTGAAAATTTATAGGCGTGTACCTCACGTCATAGAGAACTCACAAAAAAAACTTCAGAACAAAAAAATATATTTTTAGGCCCCGAAATAATTTTTGGCGGGGGCCAAACGCCGTCGGGTTCGGACCCCGTACGGGACCCCAAATGCCCGTACGTACGGAGGTCCGCCCAGGGACCTCCGTACGTACAGGCTGGTAACCCTGAACTAAACAACTTTTGCCTCAGGGTCACATCGAAATTCTTCACCAAATTTAGAATAAAAAAAGTACTTCAAATTTTTTTTTTTTTTATTTTTTAATGGCCCGGCCGGGCAAGTGACCCCGGGCCACTCTGGTAGCCTAGGTTTTTGAGCATTTTTGAAGTGATAAGGGGATTTTGACCCCTTTTCGTTTTTGTGCTGTTCTCTGTGAAGTGATAGGGACTTAAAAAAAGCACAGTCCCACGAGCCATGCCACTGCTTATTCTGATTTTCTTCTTCTTTCTCTCTCTCTCTCTCTCTTCCCCCCCCCCCCTCTCCTCTCTCTTCTCTGCTTTTGTTTCTTCTTCTTTATATCTCACCTGGTCTCTTGGTTGCGTCTTGAGTATACTCTGTGTCACGCTGAGTTTTGATTTGTCTAGGCCTTTAGGCCGACACTGATTTACTGAGTAGCTGGAAGTTATTTCAACACGGGTCCCGCTTTGAATCTTTCAACGCACGTTGAAAACCGGGGAAACTGCGTTGAAACCCCCGTTTATTGCGGTTCACCGCATCCCGGGAAGACTTTTTTCGCAGGCAAAAAATGAGCAAAAAAGAAAATACAGAGTTGCAGATCTTTTCAATAGCTACAACCTGCTATTTTTTATTGTATTTTTTGAACATTCCTTATATTTAGAAAAAAATTCAAAAAAATCTAAAACCATACAAAAAAAAAAAAAAAAAAGATGAAATGGGTGGGTTTTACTTTTTTCACAGAGATTTTTTTGCGGGCAAAAAATAAGCAAAAAATTTGAAAAACAAATAAAAATTAAAGGGTTGTTGATCTTTTGCAGAGCTACAACCCCACGTTTTTTATTGTTTTTTACAAACTTTATCTGTATTAAAAACAAAAACACATAAATACCAAACACACACACACACACACACAGACACCCTCACACACACACACACACACAGACACCCTCACATACACACACACACACACACACACACACACAACGGTCCATATTCTTCATCCACCGGGGCTCCCTCCACTTCTTGAGCTCCGTCTTCCTCCATTTACTTTCAGGGTGGAACCAGTGGAACCGGCAATTACGGGCATCAGGGTAGGCCGAATTGGTGGACCCGTAATCAGGAGCACCTTCACAAGGTCTACAACCAGTACGTGGAGGATTCCAAGAAAGAAGCCAGATGGATGGAGGAGGAGGAGAGAGCGAGAAAATAGAAAGACGAAGAGGAGAAGCACATGAAGTGGAAGAAAGAGAGGGAGCAGTTCGTTGCTGAGATGGGGGCTCGTCGGGAAAAATAGGTTGGACGAGTTGGACGTATCCGCGAAAGGCAAGGGAACAGAAACCGGGGATAGTAATGGGGAGAAGAATGATGTGTTGGAAAGGCTGTGCAAAGAGAAGGAAGATTTTAAAAGGAAGTTGAGTGAGCTGATGTGTCCGTCGGGAGAAGATAAGGTTTTATTTTTGCAGAGAGAAATTATGGAACTGCCGCGTAAACAAGTGGCAGACAAGCAGCTAAAGAGGACGGCATCTTTTGCCTTGAGGGAAGAGATTGGAGAACTTAAACAATCGGCGTACGTTAAGACGAATTTTGAACATGAGATCGCTGGCCTCAAGAAGGAGGTTGGTATGTTACGTGGTCAGAATGAACGGGCTAAGGCGGAAGCGGAGCAGTGGAAGGACGAGGCCTTGAGGCCTGGCAATAAGAGAGGTAACGTTGCTGTTGGAACACCTGAGTGTACTAGTCGAGGTACTCCTAAACCCCGGTGGACCGACAACTTTAGAGAGGCAGATAAATGGAAAGAGGAGTCTACATAGCCTGCATAGGCTGGCTAACGTTGAAGCCTAAGCTCTGAAGGAAAAGAGGGCTGAAGCCGAGATGAAAAGAATGGAGGCGGAGAAACAAGCAAAGAAGTCGGAGGAGCAAATGAGCAAACTAACAGCTAGCGGAGAGAAGGCAAACGAAAACGGAGGAACTAATCTGAAGGAACGGCTGGAGGAGGTCGCTGTTCAATCTGCAAGGAAGGGGTTGAAGGCAACCCCTGGAAGAGTTGGCGAAAAATCTGCCACGGAGATCAACGATCGTGCTGCCTTCGTTGAGGAGCAGAAAAAGCAACTGAGGCTGTTTGAGGAAGGTTGGGTTGGAACCATTATGTAAGGAAGAAGGTGTAAAGCTTGGCAAGTTCGAGGAGACTGTTTGTGAACAGGCGGAAGCTCGGGCCAGGAAAGTGTTTGGTGACGCCACGTGCAAAGGTGAAACATCAAAAAAAGGGCGCCCAATCTATGAGGTAAGTGAGGATACAACGAAGGAAGTATGCCTCTCCGAGGAGGAGGAGGAGGTCCTGGAGATGTCCGCGGAGCTGTAGGAAATTTTCCCGAGCGCGACGACACTTTGGTCATTGGCGAATGAGTTTAGGTTGAAACGAAGCGGGTTTGGTTTGTCTTCTTCTGCTCCTGGTTCTTCCGAGCCTTCCGCCTCTCTTGCTTGCCTTAGATCTTCGGGGTTCCCCTTATGTGCGGACCAAACTGACTCCTACTTTCTTCGTGATAAAGTCTTCAATGCATTTTTTCATCTGATAGTGATTGGCCTTGCTCTGCAAGACCAAATACCTTGGGCGGGGAAGTTGAAGGAGTATTTGTTGAATTAGCTGGTTGATCTGGGGATGCTTTGGGGTGGGCATTCCAAGGGACAACCAAGGGTTGCTGTTGGGACGACGCTGGCCGGAGCTGGGGCGAGTCGTGTTGCTCTGTAACCTAGCCGGGTGGGGGTGTGAGGCCTGGGAGAGCTCGACAGGGAATAAGACAGTGTTGGACAGTTTTAGAGAGTTTTGTTTGGGAGTCTAGGGGTTCTGAGCACTCGAAAAAAGGTCAATAGTCATTCATAGTTTTTCAAACTCTCCTTTAATTCTCTTGATTTTCTTCAATAGTCCTCAGTTTTTTTCTCAGCCGAAGCCAGGTAATGGCCCCGGTATCTCAAATGATTTGTGTAACTCTATATGGGACGCTGGGCCCGGTTCCCAGCACGTGCTGCTCCCCATGAATAGAATGGAGCATTTAGCCCAAAAAAGAAAAACAAAAAAGAAAAAAAAAGAGCTGATTGACGGTGTCGACTTGGTGGAATGTGAGGGTCCTCTCGTGTACGTCTGTGTCCCCCTGGTCCCGACATCTGTACGTCGGGTCTATGGCTCGGTCCCTTCCTGTTGGCTGGAATGAGCATGTCTATCGGGCCACCAATCTTGATATGATCAATGGAGGTAAGCGTAACCACAAGCTCTACTCGTGGTTAAGGAGATGTCACATCGGACAGTATGTAGCTATCCTGCTTTTTCGTTGCGGGGGCGAGGATCTGTTAAGCTTGGAAAAGTACGCGATTGGGCAGATCTGTCCGTATCTGAATTGTCAGGATAAAAAGAGTAAAGGGCATCGAAGGAGACCAGGTAAGACGGAAAGATGGAAGAGGAAGAAGAAATCCGGGGGGCTTTTTTTGTTGAAAATACTGCGCGGTCTCATCTGATTTTCCACTCGACTGTTGGCATTACATCCACACGACTTTCGTTATCCTCGACTTCTGTACTGAGAAGAATGTGATGTCTGTGGGTGTTACCTGTGCGGGTGGGGAATTAATTGCTGAGAATTGGAAGTTAATTAAAAAGAAATATGGGTCAGCAGACTCAGCACTGATCAGACAATCAGATCATAATGAGTTATTAAAGAAGGGAAGGGGTATGCTGCCACCCAGCAAATATCTCATGATTGTTGCCATCGTTCCTTTTATGTCGAGATGCTTGATCCTGAAGCCCTCCCTTGGTGGGTCCTTGTCCAATCCTTCTTCACAAAAGGATCTTTCTATGTGGGAATTTTCCTTACTGGTTCAAGCTTTTTCTGCCATTCATGCTTTATCCGAAAAAAGGAGCCGCTATCAACTTCGTGTTATTCTGTCCGGTGTAATTAGGAGAAGATTTGGAGTTAATATCAGGTGGTGATTGACGGTGCGAGTCACATATGTCGAAGTATGGAGTAAGCCAGGTATTCGATCTGTTTGTTCACGATCGGTGATGGGGGCTGGAGTAAGATGATGAATGGAAAAGGACGGTGGCGCGGCGAATGAGAGTCGCTTGGCTGAAAAATTGAAACGTGGGCGACTGGGTGTGTAACTTCCATTCAGCTGTGAGAGAGGTAAGAACTGTGTGTGTTTGCTTGTCATTGCCGGCCAGGTTACCGTGAATGGATGGGCATGCGTGCCTTCGTCTCAACGATTGGGATGGGTCCCCCTGCTGGTTGAAGAACAATCCTAATGTTGTAAGACCGGCGTTATGTGACGTGGTTGGGAGACTGAAGAAGGAGATTCCCCCAGCATGCATGATTTGGATTTTGTGGTCCCGCCAATTCATAGAAGTCACTTGTCGGAATGCCAAGTCGATGTGGGGGAGGCTTCTACGAACTGCACAGAGTCTGAGGAGAACATGGGCATATGGCTTACCTTCAACTCACAACAGTAGAGGAAACAAAGCACGCCATAAAAGCACATTCATAGAGGCTCGAAGAGCAGACGCGAAGCGTCTGCACTTTGTGTCCAGCATGTCTTGCTGCACTTCGTGCGTGGAGCTGTGATGCAAGCCCCCGGTTGCAGTTGAAATTGAGATGGAAGGGCTGGTGCAGGTTCCAATCGATCACAACCCGGGTGATACTTTGATTTGTTGTTGCCCTGTGCGATATCAAGAGGGAATGAAGGAGCTATTCGGTTGTAATGAGGGGCTGGTGAAGATAGAAGAGGAGGAATGCTCATCGCTGGCCAAGGCTAAGGAGGAAGGAGTATGTGAGGCAAGGTCTGTTAAAGTTAGCAAAATGGGATGGTAAGGGTGCGATTGGCAGGGCTTATGTGCTTCCAAAAAAACACAAAGATGAGGGGAGATGGCGGCCTATCTGTCCTGCCTTTTCGGAATGCAGCGTGCGTGCGCGTTGAAAGATCTCTCGGGCAGTAGACGTCATGGTATGGGAATTGCCGAAGAGAATGCTTTTCAACTTGAAGTGTACTGATCTGTCGTTGGATTCTTTGAATGCAGTTAATAAAAGTACGAAGAAAGGGGATGCCTTACTGACTGCCGCTTTTGATGTGAAGAAATGTTCTGCAGTCTCCCTCATGATTCGATTATGAACGCCGTGGATTGGATTTTGGATTTTTGGCAACTGAAAGAGGTTAAGGGGGTATTGCTAAGAAATCGCGGTAAGAAAGCTAAACTACTGAAAGGTAAGGAGCCGGAGGGACGGGAGCTGGGGGATTTCGCCATTGTCCGGAAGTTTGTCTTGTTTGATTTGGAACACACCATGGTTAGATCCTCTGGTATGATTTTGCAACAAGCAGGCAGTTGGGATTCCCATGGGAAAACCATCGAGTCTTGCTATTGCCTGCCTGCTGTGCGTATTCTCTGAGTTTTCCTTTCTGTCCTCGCTTGGGAAGGATCGATTGTTGGTCCACGACATTCGGCTCATTGATGATGTATCGATCTTTGTCAAGTATCGGTCTCGGTGTGATGAATCGCTGAGGACAGCGGAAACGATTCCGAGTGATTTTGAAAATTGTTACAATGCGAACTTGCCCTTAGAATGTACCAGCAGATCTGATCATTGGGAATTTTTGGGGTGCTCTATCAAGGACTTTGGGTGGCCGATGGAGTGAGATGTGCAGCAACCCACACAAATCAGAGGACGATTTGGGAGATGGGTCTTCGTTTTCAGAGTCTGCAGGACAATTGTTCCTATGACAGTAAGAAGCAGAAGATGGCCGTCATCGGATCTTTCATGCATCGTGCAAAGAGGTTCACGAGCGTGCCCGCCGCTGAGGTTGCTTTTCTTCTCGCACTGAAGATTGAGTTGAGATTACGAATGAGATTTTTGATTAATCGTTGCGAGGTTTCTCTTCTTCTTCTTCTTCTTCTTCTATAAGAAAACTGGTCTTTATGGGCCTCGATCGATATCCATTCTGGGTAGCGTTCCTTTTCCACCGGCAAATCGTGTTGCACACCTCCTCATCTTATGGGAAACAGAGTGTTGAGTGGTGTCACAAGATGCGGACAGGGCAACCTATCAATAACTAAGCCTGATCGTCCTTCGGAACATCCGTTAAAATTGGAAAGAGACGGAGAAGATAGATTAGCATGTCCCCTGCGCAAGGATGACATGCATAAATGGAGAAATGGTCCAAAACATTTCAAAAAAGACTATTAAAAAAAAAATAAAAAAAAATCGATCTGATCAACCAGAAATGGCAGTGAAATGGGTTGGGATCAATCACCAAGCAACGAACTTCTGGCATGACTCCTCCAAGCCTGTGCAGCACTCCTGTTGATCTTGTCGAGAACTGGTATGGAGTCACTTTGCCCAGGACAAAAACTTCGGAAGCTGGTGTTGGTAATCCGATAATGAAAAACCGTGAGTTGAGGCCCACAGGGTAGAAAGGGAAATCATCACATACAGAAGAGGGCATTCATCAAATGCAGAGTGCAATGACCAGCTTACTTTGGGATGAACGTTGCTCGCAAACCCTCCTTGCGAGCAAGTGATGTGATTGCCTCCCGGATTAAAATAACGTTATCTGCTGCTGAGACGGCCTCGCTGTATCGCTGGACGATTTCATATTGCCCCGGCCCTGACTCAGAATGCATCTGTATTGACATTTATCAACCAACACCGACGTCCACTTGTTCATGCAATCTGATCACAACGGAAACCCATGCACATAATATTGGAAAGACAATGCATGATTCGTTTCCAGCACGAAATCACAAAGCAGTGGGCACGAAAGACATGACATGAGATAACTTGGCAGCCGAGAGAGAGAGAGAGAGAGAGAGAGAGAGAGAGAGAGAGAGAGAGAGAGAGAGAGAGAGAGAGAGAGAGAGAGAGAGAGAGAGAGAGAGA